ATATGTTTCTTAAACCAATAAAGTATTCTCAGATTCTACTGATAGGATTTGGTTCTGTGTCCTCACCCAATCACACCTTGAATTGTAGTTTCCATCATCCTCATGTGTTGTGAGAGGGACCAAGCGGGAGGTAATTTAATCACAGGGGTGGTTATACTCATGCTGTTCTTGTGATAGTGAGTAAGTTCTCACTAGATCTGATGGTTTTATAAGGGGCTTTTCCCCTTTTTGTTTGACACTTCCCCTTTCTGCTGCCATGAAAAGAAGGACATGTTTGCTTCCCCTTCTGCTGTGATTGTAACTTTACCGAGGCCCCCCCACCCCCGCCGCTGTAGAAATGGGAGTTAATTAAATGTCTTTCCTTTATAAATTACCCAGTCTGGGGCAGTTCTTTATAGCAGCACGAGAACGGACTAATACACCATCCAACTGTAAAATGAACAGTGACAATGTGATTGATACATTAGAGTAATTAACAACTAGGACTTCAAGTGCTAAGGAGTACATGAGAACTATCTAACTCATAGATACCCCAAGGAGAAAGATAGTCCCTGCTAGTCCCAGAAATGAGGAAGATAGAGAATAGGTCACTTCAGGGAAGAACAGAGATAGAAAATGGCAGCCATTGCAGGAAATTAAATGACTGTAGAGGTGGTATCTAGTGTATGAATAGAAGGCACTCATTAGAGGCCTTGGTGACTCAAGGCACTGCCATTAAGGAAACATTTGAATCATTAACATACATTTAATAAATATTTTTTTTGGACAACCCCTTTCTAGATGCTACTAATGAAGCATCTACTGTAAAGACAGTGAGGTAAATAAAAGTTTTGGAAGTCACAGTCACTGTTCTTAAGGCATTAAATTGGCCACTAGCCAAACTATGATAGCAGCTTAATTAAATTCTAAAGTGCCAAGTTTGGAGGGAGTTTGGGGAAGGAATCAAGAGTGTGTTGTTGAAGACAAAATAAAACACAGAGACAACGCTGTAAATTAAACATTTTGTTTGGGAATAAAAAAAAATTGGAGCTTGGGGTATACATGCAGATCGGGGTGGTTTGCAGTATGTCTGAGGAACGTAGAAAAGGTTGGGGATTTTATTAGAAAGAACAATGTTACGTATTGCTTTGCAAGAACCTTCATTGGCACTAGAGAAGCCTCTGGGAACTGGCAAGCACCTACTCTGATAGTCACAGCAGGTTGTTTCAGCAGCTGCTAGGTAAAACCAGGCTATTCACCCCAAATGATTTTCTTCCTGGCCCCTCGACTCTTATTTAGTTGGGCATAACAGGAATGACCCAGTTCATATAATCACTTCACAATGTGAACTGGAATAACGTAGGAGAGTTGTAAGAGGAAGTAAAATCCCAGTGGAGGGCTGGGTTTGCATACAGTCGTCTTTTTCTGTGGCAGATATGTTCCATATTATGTTAATACAATAACTATTAATAAGATAGAACAAATATAACAATATTGTATAATAATAGTTTTATGACGTGGTCTCTCTTTCTCTCTCAAAATATCTTATTGTAGGTAGTATTTCCAGACTGTAGTTGACTGTGTGGGTAACTGAAACCTTGAAAAGGCAGACAAGAGAGAAATACTGTTTGTGAAGGGAATTCATGGGGTGGAGATGGGGGAGACAGAATTTGTGATTAGGCATGGAAAGGTGAGAATGACATTATACATACATTATAGTGAGAAGAATGGCCATTTTCTTAGTGATGTTGGGGAATAGCACAGTGTAGTAGAAAGAGCCCTGGATTTAAGGGTCTGAAAATTAAACACGGTCCTGGTTGATAGCAATGTAGAGAGGCAGGGTACTTTGCCTTTCTGATTCTTAGATTCCTTATCTGTAAAAGAGGCATAATTGCTATCCTTCCGACTATACCAGGTTGTTTTAAGGGCCAGGCAGTTATCTTATTTTAAATACTCCTCCAACGTTGGCCTCCCAAAGTGCTGGGATTACAGGCATGAGCTAATGCACCTGGCCTATAGACTGTTTTAAGGAAAGCATTAATTTTATTCTCGATTTCCTTCTATGTACCTCACCATCACTATAACAGTGCTGATTGCAATACCAGATACTCAGCATGTATTCACTCACAAATATTTAAATTAGGTAGGAGCATTTTATGTAGGAGTCCTTATCACTAGGTTGGTAACTTAAGCTGACTACACTGGTACTAAATAAGTGGTTCTCTTTTGTCGTTGGTGTGTTACTACTTAAAGGTTAAAAATGCTCTACTCAAAAAAAAAAAAAAAGCAAATTAGCCGCTTGTAATGTATACTTTTCCTGAAAGATACTTTTTGAATATTATACATCTAAAATGTCAAGGTTCATTGGTGGAAAACAACAAATCATGAAGCTACAAAAATTATGTGAGAATGAATTTCTGAGTGTAGTCTCTAACTTAAGCACACTTTTATAGTGCTGATTAAACTAGTATATGTAACTAGTCTATTGCAATATATATGCTATATATAATAGTCTGTTAAGCTAGTTTATTCTGCAATAGTCTTTCATAGTAGGTATATACCATAATTTATTTAACCATCCCCACTTGATGGTTGTTACCTTTTTTTTTTTTAATTCCTTCAAATAGTGCTTCAGGGAACATCCTTCTGTATCTTTGTAAATTTCTACATTATGACTTTACTATAAATTTTTGGAAGTGAAATTATAGAGTCAGAAGAGCATGTGCATTTTAAATTTGATTGATTCAATCAGTTCTCCTCCAGAGAGATTGTACCTTCAGCAAACAATATATGAGGATACCTTCTGCACCCTCACCAACACTGAATATCATCAGACTTTCTCATCTTTGGCAGTCTGGTAGATTAGGGGTGATGAACATTTTCTACAAAAGGCCAGGTAGGAAATATATTCAGCTTTCTGGGCCATAAGATCTCTGTTCCAGCTCCTCAACTCTGCCATTGTGCAAAAGCAGTTGTAGAGGATACATAAGTAAATGAGGGTGATTGTGTCCCAATAAAACTTCAGTTACAAAACCAGGTAGTGGGCTGGCTTTGGCCCATGGGCCATACTTTGCTGACTTGTTTGGTAGGTGAAAAATGTATTCATGCTTTAATTTGTGTTTCTTTTATTAGTGAAGGTGAGCATTTTCCTTTGTTTACAAAACTTGATTCAGCGCTGTCTTAAATGTTAGGGATATAGTGGTGACCAGACAGTGTCTCAGTACTCCAGAGTTGTTATTTGGATGGGGCAGTAGGAAAGACAGACCCTAAAGAGATAAGCAAATAAATAACCCTCTAGCTATGATAAGTTCTCTGAAGAAAAGAAACAGAGGTGAGAGTAGAAACTAGAGTTTAGGGTGGCAGCTATTTTAGTTAAGAAATGGCCAGAGGAAGAACTCTTAAGGGAGATGGCAGGTGGATTATATGAGAAGGAGCTAGCCGGGCAGATTAGCTATCTATTGCTTTGTGACAAATTATCCCCAAATTTAGTGGCTTAACACAGCAAGTATTTATAACACACAGTTTCTGAATGTCAGGAATTTGGGAGAGTCTTACCTAGGTGGTTCCAATTCAGGGTCTTTCATGAGGCTTAAGTCAGGATGCTGGCCAGGACTGCAGTCACCTGAAGGCTTGACTAAGCTGGAGGATCTGCTTTCGGGAAATTTTGCTCCCATGGCTATTGACTGGAGGCCTCAGTTCCTTACCATATGAACCTCTTCATAGGGCTGCTTGAATGTCCTCATGACATGGCAGCTGACTTTTTCCAGAGCAAGCAGTCCATGGGAGAGCAAGGAAGAAGCCTCAATGCCTTTTATGACCTAGTCATGGAATCACACACATCATTATATCTTCCTTATTCTGTTTACCAGAAGCAAGTCACTAAGTCTAGTCCTTACTCAAGGGGAGGGGATTTAGACTCCACCTTTTGAAGCTAATGCCAAATAACCTAGCCATATTTTAAACCACCACTGTCTTCCCCTCTGGTCACAAATTATTTATCTGTCGTCCATATGCAAATTAAGATCCTCCAAAATACCCCAGTATAGCATCATCTCAAAATCTAGAATCTCATCATTTAAATCAACCCTAGGTGTTGATGAAGCTCACTGGGTATAGTTCCTTGGGAGTAGTTCCTTAACTACAGCTCCCCTCAGAGACTTTTAAACTAAAAAGACAAATCATCTCTACTGCTATATTCAACATCTGGTGGTGGATAATATGAGGTGGTATTTTTGCCAATGTAATTCTTCAGAAAACTTTGTAGGTGTCCTGTGATTCTTACTGGGTTTTATTTCATTCAGTAATAAAAGCCACACCCAAAAATGTCTTAGCATGAACTTTGGCTGAGACTGAGTGACAACTTCCTTAAGCTTCTCAAAAGCCCTATTGTTTGAATCGTTTTTTTTGATGCACAATTTTGGATATTTGTGAGGTCTTAACTAAGGATTTTACATTTATACTCTTTATGTATTTTTTTGTTGTCCCTTTAGTCAGAAGCCTTTCCTCTTTTTGTTTTAACAGTTCTTCCTTTAGCTGTGTATCTCTTCTCTTACATTTTAGTATAAACAGCAAGAAGCCAGCAGGTACCTTCAACACTCTGGAAATCTCCTTAGTTTGATCACCCTCTTCATTAAGCACAATTTCTATCTTTGATGTAACTGTAGCTAACAGTGTCGCTCAACTTTTTATCAGTATATAATAAGATTTCTCTTGCTTCCAGTTTGTGCAAAATTTTACCCACTTTCCTTTAAGCCCTCACGTGCAGCAGACTCAAAGGCATTAACTTTCTATAAAACAGTTTCTTCAAGGCTCTTTTAGCCTTCACCTCACAGATCTGCCAGCTTCCATCTATTGCCTGATTCCAAAGGCTCTCTCCCATATTTTAGGTGTTTGGTACGACAGTACCCCACTTACAGGAACCAAGAGAAATATTAATTCTGTTTGTGTCACAAATTACCCCAAACCTTAGTGGTTTAAATGAATACACATTATCTCAGTTTCTGAGAGTCAAGAATCTGTGTAGTTTTAGTTCAGGGTTTGTCCTAGGTTGTGGTCCAGATATTGGCTAGTGCTGGTCATCTGGAGGCTTGACTGGGGATGAAGGGTGTGCTTCCAGACAGGCTACTCATAGGGCTATTCATAGGAGGCCTCAGTTTCTCACTGGCTCTTGGCAGGAGACCTTACTTTCCTACCACATGTGTTTCTCCATAGGGCTCCCTGAATTTCCTCACAACATAGCTGGCCTTCCCTAGAGTATGCATTCTTAATGGAGTGCTGTTGACCCCATTAGGTGACAATTGGTTCTTTAGAGGGATCTAAAGATCTAAAAACCTTAAGATTTTATAGTAACATATATCCTTCCAAAGGGTGATGGTACATAAACAGGTATATAGTATATTTGTGGCATTAAAATTTTATTGAGGGGCCTATTAGGAATAAAATATCTAGAAGGCTACTCAGGTGAGGAATAATGAAAACAAGGTTGAGAAACACTGGCTCAAAGGAAATGATCTAAGAAAGAGCAGGATTTGGAAGCCATAATGCCATTTATGACTTGGTCTTAGAAGTAACGCACTGCCACTTTTGCATCTTTCTTTTTGTTAGGACTCACTTGAAGGAGTATCAAAGAATTATGACATATCTTAAACCACCACTGCATGTAAAGAAGGATAAGGGCATTCCAAGTAGAGGAAACAGCAAGTGCAAAGGCTCTGAAGCAGGAAGATGACTCATGTGGGTAAAGCATGGTGAGGGAGAGTGCTATGTGATGAGACTGGGAAAGGTACTACATCATGTAGGATCTTGCAGGCCCTATAAAAACTTTTACATTTTAGGTGAAATGAGTATTTAAGTATTTAAGCAGAGTCACATGATATGGTTTACTTTTCAAAAAGATCACTTTGACAAGAGTGTGTGGAGAAATAGGTGGGACAAAAGTGAAAGCATGGGGACCAATTAGAAGGTTCCTCCAGGGGTCCAGGTGAGAGATCAGGCACACTTTGACTAGGGAGCTACGTAGCAAAGGAGACCAAAAGAGGCAGATATGTTGCACTTTCAAAAGTAGAACTACAGTAGCTGCTGACAGATTGGGAACAAGGAGGGGGTAATCAAAGATGACTTCTATGTTTGGCTTGGAGGATGTTGGTGCTAGTTATCGATGAGAAGACTGGGAGAACAGCAAATTTGGATAAATGAAGAGCTTCGATTTTAGCCATGGTAAGTTTGAGATGTCAAATAGAAGGGGAGAAATCAGTATTCAACAAAAATTGGAAAATCTTGCTATGTGACTAGTTTTCTTTGCATATTGAATCTTTTTAAAATTTTCCTGAGAGCTGTATATGCATGTCCTTTGCTACTTTTTACATTATTCACAGTGGGTGTCAGTACTGCTTTTGCCTCGGATTTGGCTTATGATACCAGAATATAGAAAAAGTTGTGGTCTGGAATATATGCATAAGGATAATTTTTTTAGTATGAATTTAAAGGCTTAGCACAAGTGTCTTTAAAATGTTTTTAATTGCAATAGTAATACATATTGCTGGTATCTAAAAAACACAGATTGGCAAATAACTGAACATGAAAATTATCTTTAGTATTACTGCTCAGAGAATACAAACACCTTGATATATATCGTTCTAGTCTTTTATTTCATATGTACTTGTGTACATACACACATATGCAAATACACATTAGATCTTAATGTGCACACTGTTTTGAGCTGTGACAGTTTTACAAAATGGTAAGAAATAACATTAATTTTCACTGCTTAATTGAGAATATATATCATATGGATTGGCTTTGAGTTACATGATAGGGTATCAAAAGTAAAGAATACATTCCAGGGCCAGTCACAGTGGCTGATGCCTGTAATCCCAACATTTTGGGAGGCCAAGGTGGATAGATCACTTGAGACCAGGAGTTTAAGACCAGCCTGGCAACGTGGTGAAACCCCATCTCTACAAAACATAGAAAAAAATTAGCTGGGCGTAGGGGCAGGTGCCTGTAGTCCTAGCTACTGGGGAGGCTGGTAGGAGAATTGCATGAGCCCTGGAAATTGGGGCTGCCCTGAACTGTGATCACGCCACTGCACTTAAGCCTGGGACAAAGTGAGACCCTGTCTCTTTCTCTCTCTCTTTTACACACACACACACACCCCTTGGTGTGGTGTTGTGGGCCTGTATTCCCAGCTACTTGGGAGGCTGAGGCTGGAGGATGGCTTGAGTCCAGGACATGGACACTGTAGTGTAAAGAACATGATTTTTTTTTTTTCATAGTCCAGAAAATCCCTTGCAGGTGTAATGGCTTGACCTTTGGTTTACTAATTAAATTTGTAGAAATATAGCCCAGATAACGTTGTCCATGCCAGTAGTATATTCTTTATTCTGCTTTTGTGAAAAAGATAGAAATGACCTCCCAGAGCATGCAGATATCAGGGCCTGTTTAAGAAAGTAAGTTGTAGATCTGCTGTGGAGTTGAGCACTGTTTATCTCTAGGCCAAAATACAACGGACACTCAGGGTTCTTGTGAGTCATTGGTTAAATTATATGTCTAATAAAATCTGTTTAAGACATTAGGAAAAACTCACTCTAGATTTTGGAAAGAGTGCCAGAGGGAAAAATTAATTAAGATTTAATATTTGGGCATTTTGATGATTAAATCCTTAGTATTCATGGAAATTCCCTTATTCTTGTGAAAGATTTATTTTATTTTTATTAACTTGATAATTGGCTGACATAACATCAAAGCACTTCACCCTTCTTTGGGAAACCAGGTCTTTGGTAGGAATATTTTTCAAAAGGAACATCCACCATCTAATGTTCATTTACCATGAGCATTGCCCTGACAGGCAAGAGACAACATCACATTTTCTTTTGTTGGGTAAGAGTCATTCAACGTGATTTTTATTGCCTGCCTAAGGACAGTGCTCAAAGTAGTGGCCCCATTATTCTGTTTGATTTCAGAATGTTACTTTTTCTTTTCCCTGACTAGTAAAATTCACCCTTCATTAATTCAATAAAAATTTATTTAAAAGCAAATAAAATTTAACCACTGTTTCTTCAGCACTATCCACGAGGCTGAGTGGTAGGAGTATGGAAATGAATAGGCTTGTTCCCGATTATTAGAGAGCTTTTGGTCTTTACACTTTCATGGGGGTGAAGGACAAGTAGATTTATCAATCATAAAGTGATTGGGGTATGTTTAGGTTTCCTCAGGAGCATGAAGGAGAAACATGTAATTCAGAATGGGGGACAGAAAAAGGCTGAACCTTGAAAGATGATTTGTTGTTAGCCAGAAGTATGAGGGGAGAGGGATGTCAGAGAGAGAAGGTGGGAAGTGTTACTAATGTTTTATTTCTGAAGGTGATAGTGAGTTCTTGGAAGTTCATTGTATTATTTGCATCACTGTATATCAGAAGACTTTAATAATAAGCATTTAATCATTAATTCTTAGAGGTGATTTCTGGGTATTGATAACAAAATATGAAAGTAAGAATTCTCAATTGTATAGAAACTGGAGGCAGGGGTACTATAAATGAGAAATTATAATAGATGAGTGAAAGTAAGTTTATATGTTATTTGCCTTTTAAGGATAAGTTTCAGTTGGGGGAAACATTTTTACTGTTTTGTAAATTAAGAGTTAAAAAAACTTATGTTTATATGCTTTCTATTTTTCCTTTTCAGATTCAAGATATAATCATTCTTTTAAAACGTTCTGCTTTTAGTCTTTTGCTATGTTGTATGCTGTTGTGTACAACTAGGCATTTAATACATTTTCCATTTTGATGAAAACATTTACATTCTGGCCCACTAACTTTTTTAGGCTCATGCTTTTTGGAGGGAAGGTTAGCTATCTCTTACAATTTCTAAATTATTTTGGAAGCTTTGTAGTCTTGCCTAGTTTTAGTTGTGGATTATCAGGATAAAAATTAGGAAAGAATACATGAAAAAAACTTAATTTTTTAAAGAGGAAATTTGATTTTACTGTTTTACGATAAATGCTTAAGAAAATAATCACATATATCTTTTTTTCCTCTTTTAGCCTTTCTAAGAAAAGTCTACAGCATCCTTTCTCTGCAAGTTCTCTTAACTACAGTGGCTTCAACAGTTTTTTTATACTTTGAGTCTATACGGACATTTGTACATGACAGGTAAGGTAATGAGATGACAATGAATCATTTTCAGACATTGCATATGATCAAAAAGGCATATTATAAACAAAATTGACTTTTTTCTATTAACTTTTGAGGTTAAAATTTTAAAAAGTTCATTAACTAACTCTTACAAGCCTGATTAGTTTTGTTTTTGATAAAGAAAAATATTCCACAACATGGTATTTACGTCTGAACTTTTTAGCTTCAGTAAACCCTCATCTCCTGGAATAGTATTAAGAATTTTTAGTGTACGCCATTTTTAAACATCTTAATTTTTAAAAACTTTATTAGACTATAGTCCCCGTGCTCAAAGCCTAAGACAGTGCTTGAAAAATAAATGTGCGTTCATTTTAGTTTTCGCTCATGACTAGGATAATTTCACCAAGAAGTTTTCAAAAGACCGCCACGTGATTCATTCCTGATTAAAGACTGACCTCCAACATAATTATTTCCATTGCTAAAAATAATACAGTTTTGCTATATTAAAGGAAAGGAGAACTAACGAATATTTTCATAGAAGAAGAGAATTTCTTTTCCCTTTCCCTCTACCAAAGTGGAGTCTCGAACTATTTAGTTTGCTGTTTGAGGTATAATTCGTTAATTTAAATTACAGCCATATGGCAAATACCCTAAAAATGTAGTTGTTGTTATTTAATTTCTTTATTGTCTAATATTAGTATACTAATTGCAAACATTATTCAAATATGATAGAAGTTTATACAGTAAAAAGGAAAAGTCTCCCCCATTCATTTTGGACTCTTTTCTTTGTCCTGAGGCTCCTTTCTACCTTGTACCCCTCAAATTTTCCAGATGTAAAATAATTTGATAGTTTGGTGTGTCTCATTCCAGATTTTTTCTCCTGTACTTTCATAAATTTATAAATTAGATAAATGTTATTAAATTGGATAATACTGCTCATGCTATTTTTTTTAACTTGAAACACTTAATATTATGTCTTTCAGTCCTGCCTTAATTTTGCTGTTTGCTCTTGGATCTCTGGGTTTGATTTTTGCATTGAATTTAAACAGACATAAATATCCCCTTAACCTGTACCTGCTTTTTGGATTTGTGAGTACTTTGACTTTCTCTATTCCTTTAACAATTATTCCTGAGTTTGAATATTCTTATTTAATTAAATGCATATATAATACATACATAACAATGGCAGAAAAATATTAATGAGTTTTTTTAGAGTACTTTAGGAAATTACTTGTAATTTGATAGTCTTTTAAAACTTTTAACAGTTTCTTAGTTTCAAAGGTTATTCTATTAATATTAGCAGGTAGTGGAAAAAATACTAATTGGAATCAGAGGACCTGGCTTTGCTGCTATCCGATTATGTGACACTTGGCAAGGCATTTAGCCTTTCTGTACCTAAGTTTTTTCATATGTAAAATGAGAATATTAAAATAGATAAATCCTTGTGAAACCTCTACCTCTAATATTCTGTGATTTTTTGGGGAAAAATTTGTGGCTTTAATTTCATAGAATTTAAATTCATTATGATTAACTCTTCTGTGTTATTATCTTACCCCTCTGGTCTTTTGAAGAACCATTTTGCTCAAATTATGTGCACTACTAACTTTTTTCAAAATTATACTTGGAGAACCCAACTTTAAGGTCATATGTGTTGAGATATTTGTGAAAATTAAAACCCAAACTACCACTTATGAAAATTCAGTCTTAGAATATGACTAGAATAACTGGATAAGGCTCCAGTTACATATTTGAAAAATTATTTTGCCTCTTCTCATATCCAGTATGACTATATTTTAACCTAAAAACTTACTTCAAAACATTCCAAACTAATATTAAGACTACTTGGCTGGGCTATAGTGGCTCATGCCTGTAATCCCAGCACTCTGGGAGGCTAAGGCTTGTGAATCACTGGAGTCCAGGAGTTTGAGACCAGCCTGGGCAACATAGTAAGATCCCATCTCTAAAAAAAAAAATACAAAAATTAGCTGGGTGTGATGGTGTGCACCTGTAGTGCCAGCTACCTGATCAGCTGAGGTGGGAGGATCACTTAAGTGGAGGTGGGGGTTCCGGGGTGGGGGAGGTGGAAGCTCCAGTGAGGTGAGATCACATGACTGCACTCTAGCCTGGATGACAGAGTGAGACCCCATTTCAGACAAACAAAAAAGAATACTTGTCAAATATGAGTGAAAAAGCTATTGATTATATTAAAATGCTTTAAAAAAGTTTGTGAATTCTGATAATGAGTTTGTGTTAAAATGATAAAGAAAAGCTGATGACTTTTTTCAGTTATAGGAAAGATTATTCATTTAAACCTTAAGCTCTTTTGTTTGCAAGATTGTCAGTCCTAACTCAAGTTATCGCAAGTAACAAGGAGTTTAAGGATGTAAGCGCATGAGAACCCACCAACCCAAATCTTCTTCAAGGAAGATGAACTGGATAACTGGAGGAAGGTTCTAGAAATGATGATATCATAGGAAATTCAGTGACAAGAGTTTGTGTTCTCCTCTCCCTTATTCTATTACATCTCCTCTCTACCTCAGTTGTCCTTACACGTTGTTTTCTGTTTCCCAAACAATGGGTCATATATAAATTAAAGATAATTAATTTTTGCCCCCATAGAGTAATTTAGCTTTAGCTCACACTGCCATTGCTTCAATCTCTGAGTTCAGATTCCTGGGTCAGAAAGAATCTGGGCTGGGCGTGGTGGCTCATGCCTGTGATCCCCGCACTTTGAGAGGCTGGGGCAGGCGTACTGCTTGAGTCGAGGAGTTCGAGACCAGTCCAGGCAGCATAGCGATACATTGTCTCTGCAAAAAATACAAAAATTAGCTAGATGTTATGGCATGTGCTTGTAGTCCCAGCTACTTGGGAGGCTGATGCAGGAGGATCACTTGAACCGGGAGGTGGAGGTTGAAGTGAGCTGAGATCGCACCACTGCCCTGCAGCCTCAGTGACAGAGTGAGACCCTGTCTCATAAAGAAAGGCGGCGGGTGGGGGAGAAGGAAGGGAGGGAGGAAGGAAGGAAAAGTAAGGAAGGAGAGAGAGAGAATGAATCTGATTGGTATACTTGGTTGTTGGCATAGGTCACATTGTAGGTTGTTAGTCAATATATGGGTTGCCAGACATTGCCTCAGAGCCAACTCCTGGCCTAGTCAGCTATGTCTTAGGAGAGAGGAAGTATAAAAAGAAAGAAGGCCATATAGAATCCCTCTTCACATCTACATACAGCCTTCTCTCAGAAAGACTGATTTCTATATCGGAAGAGGGTGTGGGTCAACTTTTGCCCAGCAGGGAGAGGTCCCACTAGAAAAGCATCAACCAAATGCTTATAGGCAAGATAGTCACTGATTGCTAAATCTATTCATCATGCCCATAGCTAAAAATGGTTTAACAAATAAGTATGTAAAATACATTTCCTCAAATTACTCAGGGACCTTTAACATTAGGGTTTTCTTGGTCCTGCTGCAGCAGGATAAGAAAGAAGGTAGTAGGAGTGTGTGTATGCATGGACATACACACACACACACATATAGGCAGATTAGATAGACAGACAGACAGACAGACAGAGAGAGAGAGAGACAGACAGACAGACAGACAGACAGACAGATAGATAGATAGATAGATAGATAGATATTCCTCGACTTAAAATCATTCAACTTAAGATTTTTTGGTTTTATGATGGTGTCAAAGCAATATGCAACCATGAAAGTTCAAACTTTAAGCATTGGTGATTCTTTAACCAAAGACACTCTGGGTTGTATTTTTGACTTGTGATATTTTCAACTTACAGTGAGTGTATTAGCATGTAACCCCATTATAACTTGAGAAGCATGTGTATATATGTTTTAAAGGGGGCATTATCATATTTTCCTAGTCTTATCTTTATTCCTGTGTATGCCTATTTATACCATCCTGTTTCCTTCAGATACTTGAATGTGGGTAGGATTTCTTTCCTAAAATCTTGTCACAAATAGCAAGAATATAGTGTAATCATGTTGCGCCCCCCCATCCCAAATTTTCTCTTCTTTTTTCTTTTTTTTTATGGAGACAGGGTCTCTCTGTCGCCCAGGCTGGAGTGCAGTGGCGCGATCTTGGCTCACTGCAACCTCTGCCTCCTGGGCTTAAGTGATCCTCCCACCTCCCAGCCTCCGGAGTAGCTGGGAATACAGGTACATGTCACCACGCCTAGCTAATTATTTGTATTTTTAGTAGAGATGGGTTTTGCTATGTTACCTAGGCTGGTCTCAAACTCCTGGACTCAAACAATCCACCTGCCTTAGCCTCTCAGAGTACTGGGATTACAGGTGTGAGTGAGCCACTGTGCCCAGTCCAGAAAAAATTTTTTGTCTTTTGCTACCCTTTTACTGGCACTACTAAAATCATTAAAATGTGACAGCAGTTCCATTGCCTCCATGTCTGTGGACAATTTCTAATACCATTTTTACTCTAGTACTGATGGTTTTCCTGATATCAGGTATGGTGGAGTACAGGGGATGCTTCTACCAGGATTATGATTATACAGCCACTGCCGTTATTTCTGACTTTCTCTTTGTGATATGGTCTATCAGATGGTTGATAAAATCTATCTAGAGTAAGCATATAAGACAAAATAAAGATACTGTAATTAAGGGGAAAGAGGCTAGAGGAGGCTAGAGGACAAGACTCATTAGCACCAAGTCTTTTATTTAGGGTATGGGTTCTGCTACTTCTGACATGGCTTAAACAGTGACAAAATAACTGTGGCTTAAACAAGATAGTTTATTTCTCATGTAAAAATTTGAATGACAATTTAGTGAAGGTGACAAGGGCCCATGCTTCTGCTATGGTCAAGGCATTCCTAGATAGTTGCATAGTATATGATAGATAACTCCCATATCCACAAAGCATTCAGTTATTAATACAAACAAATGAGAAGAGAAAAGGGAGAGCAAGTCTTTGCTTTTAGAGCACAATCCAGAAGTTGTATACCTCTCTTAGTCATATTAAATTGGCTAGAATATCATTACATAGTCAGACCTAACTGCCCAGGAGACTGAAAAAATGCAGTAAAATCTGAACGGCCATGTGTCTGGGTAAAAATTCTGTTATTAGGGAAGAAAGAGAGAAAGAATATTGGGAAATACTTTCAAGACTCCCATACCAAAGTACTACTTAAATATTTTATTATTCCTATGTTTGTGTGAGGTATTGAGGTTTTATAAATGTGCACATAATTTGCAATTTTGTTTTTATTTATATTACAGAGTAAGAAAAGTAGAATGTTCCATATTTATAGTCTTCCTGTTACAGATATGAGATAGAGCTTAAAGAGTCTTGGTATCACAATTAGAATCTAAATATTCTCACTTAATAAATTGAGATCTCATTTTCATTATGGTAGGTTTACTAACTGCCTCATATACTTCACAAGACTGCTTTGAAGCTAAAATGAGATCATTCATATGGGATCACATTAAGCTGCTAGAAATTAGAAAATGCACATGAGATAGTGTAAATTTTACAGTCATTAATTTCAGTTTCTTTTCATTAGACACTATTGGAAGCTCTAACTGTGGCAGTTGTTGGTAAGCCGTAATTGCACTTCTATATGTTATAATAACTTTTTAATGTAGATAAATCTTTCAGGTAAAAAGGTATTTGGGGCTGAAGTCTAACATCATGGAATATCATATTTCAGAAATATAGCATAGGACGAAGAATTCCTAAAGTATAAGCAAAAGTTAGATATTTATCCTTTACTTATTTCAGCTGAGCTTAGAAGAAGTAGAAAAGAAAAATAAAAGGAATGGAGAACATTATTTCATTTGTTGACTTATTTATAAAAATAAGACAACTATAGCTAATCTTTTCCTTAATTTAAAAGTATCTTAAAGTAACTGAGAACATGTATTTTGAACCATACACTTTGATCATATGAGCTTAACTCCTTTAACTTGCCTGTGCTGAACTATGCTTTAATGTTACATCCTCATATTGTTTCAAACAGCACTACAAGAAACATTGGTCGTTTTTGCTCTCTATTTCATGTTAAACGTGTTTGAAGGCCATGTCTGTTATAATTACTTGATGCACCCTATATAATATCTCAAATAAAAAAATTCAATAAATTAAGAATAAAAACTTCTCCAAATGGTTAACCTTGAGTACCAAAAAGGTCAGAGTTAATTATTACTCTTAATAACATCAAGTTGTTTATCCTATAGTTAATAAGTTAATATATTTAACTCTTCCTATTTTGTCATTAGGTTTTGAATCTTTCTGTGCCAGTTTTGTTTAATCTGTATTTTTTTGTAATCTCTCATTTAAAAATAATCAATATAAATACATAGTAATAAATAATAAATAGGATTGTGGCTTCTCAACATAGGCAGTATTATTAATATTTACTTATTATTAATGTTACTTGCTATTAAGGTTATCAAATCCATCTCTCCCTTCTCCAGCCTCTACTATGTACATAGAATGTAGGAGAGAGATTCATTTCAGGATTATTGGAATTTGGGATAGAAAAACATAGATGGGATAATCTGAGAACATTATTTTCCTCAATAATTGCAATATCTTTTCAACCTAATTGTATACTTAAATTACTGACAAGAAGCTAAATTGACTTAATGTCTTATCTTTTCCCTGTTCACCTCCTAATCCTGTAATGGCATAAATAGAGAAATTCCAATCATGTAGCATTTAGGGATAGCAAGAAAATGAATAATTAATCTCTGAAAAATTAAAAATTACTTAAATGGCTTTGGGTTCAAAGCAGTTAACCTCCAAGAGGTTATAACTTTGCAATTTGTTAAAATGTTAAGGAGTTTTATTATAATAGCCATAATTGACTGGATGGTTATTCTAAAATTATAGAAAGGAATTTGGCATATATTCAATAAACCCCACAATAGTGTACTCCAAGATAATACACATTAGATATAAAGCAGTTAGTAGCTGATTTCTGTCTTCTGCAGGGTAAGTGAATGGTAGGCAACCCTAGACAGGCCTCAATATTTTTCTTGCCCAATTGCCTTGATTTGGGAAAGAAAAAAAGTGTAACCAGGTGACTGCTGGAATTGCTGCTACTGTCCAAAAATTCCCAGTCTGGCAGGAAACCCAGAATCATCCCTACTGATATTGAAACCATAGTGGACAATTACCACAGATGGTGGTAAACTATGACTGGGACAGAGATAGTTGAGAATCACTCTACCGTATCCCTAAAACTCCTGTCTACAGGCATAAGAGCTTTCTAGTCATTTCATTAATTTGGTAATAATGTGACCCCCCAATTCTGTATGAATGAATTTTCTGGAGACTGTTAATTGCATTATGGATGTGGTTTCATTGTACCCATGCATTCAAGGATGGATAAGAAACCTTTTCATAATTGTTTTTGTTGCCATAAAGTAAAGGAGAAAATGAAGCATTTCTGTAAAATGCCAGAAAAAGCTGTTTTATATTGAGCATGTTTATATGCATGGTAATCAGTGTTTTAATTTTACAGTTACTTTCTATGATGTACATATTATTCTGCAAGCTTACATACTGACTACTGGAGTATTTTTTGGTTTGACTATGTATACTCTGCAAGCTAAGAGGGATTTCAGCAAATTAGGAGCAGGGTAAGTTATATATATTCTTGGATATAATAGATGTCTTTAATTATTATAGGTGGTTTTGAGGAAAGTGCTCCACTATTATCTTTGGGTACTGTCTTTTAAAATGGAGGGTAATAAGAGATCATCTCTTTGAATACTAGGGCCAGGCCTTACTCTCCCAGAACATACACAGAAATGGAAAGTGGCTTTGAGTTACTTGCTTCTCTTCTGTAGAGAAAGGGAAGTGAATTTAAAAAAAAAAAATCAGCTTTCCAGAGAGTTTAAGCTTGTATGCTTTATGAACATTATGGAATTTACTGAAATTTCAGTCTGTCTTAGCATAAATCTTACCAAGACCATCCACATCTTTGTGGAAAAAAGCACTGTAATTAGTACAGATATTGAAAGGGTCTGCATGAAATTTAAAACCTTTTGATCCATCTAGATTAACTTGTATTCTTCTTCAAATATACAGACTGATCCTTTTTATATTAGGATTATGGTACTGCGTTGCCCTCACCTGGTAGGAATGCATGGACTCTTTTCTAAGCTCACAGTGGCTTCCTGTTGGCGCATACTCTTCTTTTTCTTTTTCCTGTTACAACACTATTTACAAAAGTCTGCTCTTGCTAAACTTTCTTTCCTCCCTCACCCCTTTTATTCTGGTAATCCAGAACACCAGAAGTCTCTATAGAGATAAAATACAATTGGTTAGCCAACACTGACAATTGTGCAGACTACTTAAATAGTTTTATTAGAATAGAGTTTGATTTAGGGAGAGGTAATATTTTCTATGTCCTTTTCCTTTTTTGGAAGGATGTTTCATATATATTTGTGTGGCATATATGATGAAAAGTTTGTTCTACTTCCTCTTCCCAACTCAGTCTCCAACTGTTCCTTCCCCTTCATTCATTGCAGTATCATCTTTCAAATCCTTTTCTGGTAAACCTGCCTTATATTTCGGCCTCTTCACAGTAACTTTACATTTATTGATACAAATGACATTACAGTGATCATATAGATCTGAGACCAGATATTTCTAAGTGTGTGTGTATGCCATTTCTGATAATTCTTATAGTATTTTCTTTGTGTGTTCGGTTATTTTTGACTATGTAACTGTCCTTGAAAAATTACTTTTTGAATTTCTTTGAGGCGTCAGTCGAAGGTGCAGTTTTCCCTACAATAATTGGGTTTTCGCCTGGCATCTGGGAAAACTATTGAATTGGGTCTACTTGAAACTAAATTCATGGCTTATGATGCTTTCCCAACCACCCAGATGTTACTCATTTAGACTACAAATCCGAAAAGGGATAGCTTGTGGTGGCAATTTCCCAGGGATAGTTCTTCTCTGCCCCACCCCTTAATTTACCCCTGCTTAGTGCATTGATGACTTTTCTTGTAGTTGGGTAAATTCAGCTATAGTACCATGATTACTTCTTTGGGTTTCCACTTTTACCTAGATTTTGACTTGGTAATTCCATTCTATCTTGACAGTTATTTGATGTTTTTAAGAAGGTATTCTTTGTTTTCTCTTTTATGCATCACGTTAGTAGTTTTTCAGGGTGGGACAGGGTCAGTAATTAGCCTGAAATAGTTCTTGTTTACTGTAATACTGGAAACAGAACTCCTTCAAAATTGTCTCTTAGCTGTATTACTATTCTCTCTCTCTATTCTCTATGATTCTCTCTATTCTCTCTCTATTCTCCAGTCTCTCTATTCTCCAGTCTTAGCAGTTTCCAGCCTCTTTACCACCAAGCAGCTGGGTGATAGGAAAATGGAAACTTGATCACAGCATACCCATTTAAAACCTTAACACTTCACTTCTGCTCTTGTTCTCTACTGAATCACATGTATTGCTCTCTGTTACTGGATATTGCCATATAATGACTCTCTAGCAAAATCCTAATAATAATTACACTTTAGTCAGTTGCCGTAGATTCAGCTACTTAAGAGTAGCACTTTATTGCATTTTAAATAAAACTACTTTACTGTGAAGCATCAAAGCCTAAGTGGTTGTGGAAGCTAAGTGCCAAAATGGGATATAAAGACTGAGGGAAAAGATTTTATTTGAAAATATTTTCTTCAAAACGTTTATAGGCTGTTCCTTCTGACCTGTTTATGGGATAGTAGGGACTGAAGAAATATGTGTTAAACGTATGGTAGTATCGGCAGTGGTGGCAGTGCTTCATAGATTGACTTAAAGCTGTGATGTTTTTACAACATTATTATCCTGTAGTAATTTTGCAACAAAAGGAATTAAATCTCAGAACTACATTTGATAACTATGGCAACTGGTCATTGGTGTACTAGAATTGGCTTGTGCCAGCTTGTAAGAGGCATCTTGGCAGTTATGATTTAAACTTGCCAGTTGAAGCTTAAAATAGGCCATGGAGGATATATGTACACCACAGAAATTAGGAAGCACTACAAATCAGGGCTCATTTTCTTTCCCAGAAAGTCAGTTTACTGGGACATCACTGTTTGTAGGTTATTTCTTATTCTGTGCTTTTTATTGAGAGGGAAGAGGATAGGATTTATTTGTCACTCCTATAGATGGAGTCGTTAGAATGGCAAAATCAGCACTATATCTATGGCATATCTTATCTATATTCTTAGAAAGTTTGCTGTCTTTGATGTTTAAATATTTAATGAGATATAAGTCAAAGTAGAGTGGAGTAACAACTTAGGCAGATTATTTGTAGGACATGACTTTCAAATCTTTACCTGTTACAGTAGGTATAGAAAATGCTGTTATAAACTGATAACTCTTAGGCTGAATTTCTTACCAAAAGCTTACCAAATGGAGCCTGTGACTCTAAATAACCCTTTTAGTGTGTGTACATTTAGGTCCCTGGGGGGAACATGTTGCTTAACCAGGAAGCCTAAGTTTTAGTGTCAGGTTTCAACTTGGATGTTGTCGAGGAGAAAAGATATCTGTTTTAATATGTATTGTCAATAGTGTCTGATCAGGCTGAAATGTAGGATCTTATCCAGTTTGTGAATAACAAGAGTAAATTAATGTCCAGAGACCTCTGGCAGCCCTATCCTAATGTCTTATTGGAAGCCTACAAGAATGGGAGAGGATTTTTCATGGGTCTCCTGTATTTCTGAATGTCCTGTGAATGATGTGCTGACTGCCCTTTGTTCCAGACTATCTTTTTAAGGTTTTTTGTTTTTTTTTCCAATAGTGAACAGCTTGGGAAGATACAAATAGTGCTCACTGGAGCAGAGGGCTACCATGTTTACTTTACATTATAAAAAAGACTTGCTTCCCTAAATTCAAAGTTCCTATCTTGTAACACAACCCAGTGTGTGTGTAGGTGTCATGTGGCCTTCTTGGCATCACCTTATACAAACTGGGCTCTATCATTAAAATACTGATACTACTGTTATTACTATAAACTGTCCTTTATCCTCAGACCTAGGAGCTTGATGTATCCATGAAACTGTGCCAGACTAACTTGTTAGCCTCCAAGTAGGGTAATATCTTGGATGTTTTAAGTTCTTAATATCACCTTCCCCATATCTCATGATACAGGAGCTTTGGAGTTTCCCTAGGGTTTAAGAATGAAAAAGCAAATCCTAAGTACCTTTCAGTCCTGAAGGATCTATATTGTGAGTTAGCATGATATCTCATTCCCACTTAGATATCCCAGATGTACCCTGAAAAATTTTAGGGCCTTTTCAGAGAGACAGCTGAGGACTAGAATCACATCCTGCCTTCAGTTCACCAAATAGCATTACAATAAATAATTCTGTTATTGTGAGATAACTTATTTTCTATGAGTTCAGTCCTTATGCATTTTTTTTAAATGGTATCTTGGTAAACGTTCTTTGTACACTAGACGAGAATGTGTATTTTGCTGCTGCTGTTGGATGGAGTATTTGATAAATGTCAATTAGGTAAAGTTGGTTAATAATGTTGTCTTCTGTTTGCTTACTAATTTTCTGTGTACTTGTTTTATCAATTAATACTACAAGCATAGATTGGTTTATTTCTCATGTAAATTCTATAATTTTGCATCATATTATTTTAAACTCCATTGTTAGATGCAGAAACATTTAGGATTGTTAGGTACTCTTGGTGAACTGACCCCTTTATCATTATGAAGTGACCTTCTTAAGCTCTATATCATTGCTCTAAAATCTACTTTGCTATTAATATACCCACCTCAGCTTTCTTCTTAATTTGTGTTAGCAATGTTAGCCTGCTATATCTTTTTCCATCCTTTTATTTTTATTTGTATCTTTATATTTAAAGGTGGTTTTTTTTTTTTTTTTTTTGTAGAAATCATAGTTGGATCTTGGTTTTCAAAAATTCAATCTGACCATCTCTGCTTTTAGTTGATTTAGTCCATTTACATTTGGTGTGATGATTAAGACGGTCATGTTTATCTCCTTTATTGGCTTATTAGCTATACTTCTTATAATTAGAGGTTCTTCTAGGTTTTATAATACACGACTTTAAATTATTACAGTCTATCCTCAAATAATATGCCATTTCATGTATACTTGTATCTCCTTTTCCCTGCATTTATGCCATTGTTGCCATTACTTTTAATTCCACGTTATAAACTCCATAATACCTTATTATTTTTGATCTAAAAATTATATTATCTTTTAAAGGGAGTTAAAAAATAGAAGTCTTTTATGTTCACCAATGTATTTGCCATTTCTACTCTTCTTCATCTCTTTAAATTTCCATCTAATATCATTTGAGGGACTTCTTAACATTGCTTATTGTCTGTTGGTCACCTTTTGTGTCTGAAAAAACAATCTTTATTTTGTCTTTATTTTTGAAAGTTATAATTTTAGGTTTTGGGTTTTTTTCTTGCTTTCAATATTTTAAAGATGTCATTCCACTGTCCTCTGGCATATGTAGTTTCTGACAAGAAGTTTACTGTCTTTCTTATTATTCCTTTATATATGTTTCCCGCGCCCCCTCCCCCCGCCCCGGCTACTTTGAGACTTTGACCATTTTTTATCACTGGTTTTCATTGATGTGATTACAGTATTTCTTGGTGTGTTTCTCTTCCTTTCCACTTTTCTTCTTCTGTTTCTTGTATCTGACAATGTAAAGGTTTCATCAAATTTGGAAAAGGAATTTGTTTAAGAGATGGGGTATTGCTGTGTTGCCTAGGATGGACTTGAACTCCTGGGCTCAAGTGTTCCCTCCACCTCAGCCTCCTGAGTAGCTGGGATTACAGGCACATACCACTGTGCCCAGCTCAAATCTGGGAAATTTTGGGCCATTATTTCTTCAAATATTTTTCTGTCTCCCCTTCTTTCTCCTTTGTTTGAAACTCCAGTTACATATATGTTACACTTCTTAATGTTGTCCCCTAATTCACTGATGTTCTGTTCTGTTCTTTTTTTGTTTGTTTGCTTTTTGCTGTTTTCAAATTTAGTAATCTTCAGTGTCTAATCTATTAATTCCAGAGCATTTTTATTTCATATATTGTATTTTAATTAAAGTTCAGTTCAATTTGTGTCCTTTGAAAAAAAAATATATCTTCCATTTCTCTCCTCATGATCATTCTTTCCTTGATCTCCTTGAACTAGGGAATACATTTTTAATGTCATTGTCTACTTATTCTATCATTGTGTCATTTCTGGATGTGTTTCCATTGATTGTTTCTTCTCCTTGTTATGGGTCATATTTCCTTCATTCTTTTGCATGCCTTTATAATTTTTATTCAATGCTGGTCATTATAAATTTTACATGGTTGGGTGCTGAATTTTGTTGTAAAGTATTAACTTTAAATATATTTGGCTTTGTTCTCCTAGGATACAGTTAAGCTCCTTGGAAAGTAAGCCTTTTGAGGCTCTGTTAGGCAGGTCCAGAACAGTTTTTAGTTTAGGGGCTAATTTGGCCCTTCAGAGTACTACTCAGTGCATGTCTTAGGAGGTCTTTCTGCTTTGGCTGGTGTAAATGCAAACTATTCCCAGTCCTGTGTGAACTCTGATGATTGTTCTGCCTGCTTCTTAATGGTGGTACTTTCTCCAGCTTTGGTCACCTCCTCACATGCATGTATCAATCAGATCTTAGCTATAGACTCTAGGAGAACCCTTTTCATACACCAGAGTGCTCACTCTTGGTGGATAGTTCTCTTTTTTCTGGTACTCTGCCCTACAAATTCTAGCCACCTTGGCTTCCCTGACCTCTGAATTCTTGTCTGCTAAACTCAGAGGAGACCATAAATGTCTGTATGGGTTCTTATCCCTACACAGTAGCCTGGAAACTGTAGCCAGTGCAAATACATAGACTTCACTTTCTTTGTATCCTTTATCTCAGGAACCCCTGTCCTGTGCTATTTGCCATCTGGTGTCTAAAAACTGTTGCTTCATATATTTTGTCTGGTTTTACTTAAAGAAGGAGGATAAATTTGGCTTTTGTAATTCCTTATGACCTGAAGCAGCTGATATGCCCCATATTTGATAACAAAAGACTGACTTCTTAGATGTCGTTTCTCATATAATTTATACTCTCTATATATAACAATTGAATTGTAACTCATAGAATTACAGCAGTGTCAGATGTGTCCATTGATTGAATTCTATAATACATAAGAATGAAATGGAAAGTACATTGTGAACTTTAATAGATATGCATGTTCACAGAATAACTTGTTATTACTTGGCTTAAAAGTACAGTCATATTTCATTTGTTTATGTATTTTCTAAAAGTTTTTGTAAATCTCCAAATTAAAATACTTGTAATATTTCTGCTTTTATCTATATTTTGTGCTCCAATAAAAACTTCACAAATTATACTTTAACTAGGTTTTTATACCATAAAGACAAATGTTGAAGAAATAGCTGTTTTTTAAATTTCTTTTTAAAAAAATCCAAAATGGGCATTATATTCACTGTATGTTTACAAATTCTTACATTTTAGTTATTCTTTGGCAAAAAGTCTGGATGGATATGTTTTTTTCAGAAAGTGTTAAATGGGTTTACAAAGTTGTTTTGTAAGGAACAATATTCTAAATTACTAAACTTTTATTTTTATAGGCTGTTTGCTTTTTTGTGGATTTTGTGCTTGTCAGGATTCTTCAAGGTAAGTTATGTTATAATGGTTAACTTGAAATATAATTCTGGCTGTGCCAATATAAATAACCTCAAAAAGCTATAAAAGATACTCTTATGATAGGACATTTAGTTATAATTATCCAGAACATTTGTTTATAGAATTATCCCTTTAAAAAATCAAGGTCTTGTGTTGGTCATTATTATCGGTTGAAAGAAAGATGAATAAATAAACGAATTAAATTATATAGAAAGAGGCCCTCTTATAACTGCCAAGCTCCAATGGCACATTTAATTGTGAAAAAATAAATGTATTTAAAAATAATTTATATTTGGAATGCTATTTTTCAAAGTGGTTAATTTAGTTTAAAGGAATCTATCCATTCATTCATCCTTTCATCCAAAAGAAGCAAGTTTGGACCTGCCTTGCCTTTTTCTGCTTTTAACATTTGTATTCAAAGTTGTGCACCACTGTCAAATGTGTAATGTAGCCGTAAATCATTAGAGGAAGTAACTTAAGTCTTCTTAGCACTGTTCTCAAATATCATCATATTTCTCTAATGTCTTCCCTATAGTTATTTTTTTATAGTGAGACAGTGGAGTTGGTCTTAGCTGCTGCAGGAGCCCTTCTTTTCTGTGGATTCATCATCTATGACACACACTCACTGATGCATAAACTGTCACCTGAAGAATACATATTAGCTGCTATCAGCCTCTACTTGGATATCATCAATCTATTCCTGCACCTGTTACGATTTCTGGAAGCAGTAAATAAAAAGTAATTAAAAGCATCTCGGCTCAACTGAAGAATAAAAAATTTTTTTTTTTAGTGAGAAAAAAAGGATTAAAAAAGTAATTGTAGCAGTATATAGAAACTTCCATTAAGTAATAAAGTTTCAGACAATGATTAAATACTGTTACAGTCTTTATTTGTATCCTGTATTACTCTGAGAACTTTAAAATCTTACTATTCTTTATGATACTTCATCTCTAAATCCTTGATTTAGGATGTCAGTTAAGAGCTATCAAAATTCTATTAAAAATGTATTTCTTCCTAAATTATCCACGCATAGCTGTCTATTTACAATTCAAAGATAATTATGAGTAGATAAGAATATCAGTTTACCTTTGTCTAGTGATTTTATCTAATTTTTTCCTGAATTATTAAGTAATACTGATTTGGCTTTGATTCTGTAATAGTAGTGTGTTTACCATTATAAACTGTAAATCTCCGCCAGGAGAGGTGGCTCACGACTGTAATACCAGCACTTTGGGAGGCTGAGGTGGGTGGATCACCTGAGGTCGGGAGTTCGAGACCAGCCTGATCAACATGGTGAAACTCTGTCTCTACTAAAAATACAAAATTATCCGGTGGTGGTGGTGCATGCCTGTAATCCCAGCCACTCAGGAGGCTGAGGCAAGAGAATCGCTTGAACCCAGGAGGTGAAGGTTGTGGTGAGCTGAAATCACACCATTGCACTACGCACTCCAGCCTGGGCAACAAGAACAAAACTCTGTCTCAAAAAAAAAGAAAAAAACAAACAAAAAAACAAACTATAAATCTCTTCTTGCTTGGAGATTTTCATCTAATTGAAAAGGAAAAATATATAAAAAATAAATTCCACAGAGAATTATTCAGTATTGTATTAAAATCATATTAGAATGTTAATGACATTTTAAGTTGTACTAAAATTAAAAGTCTGCCCGAAAGTCAGATATTATTATGACAAAATTTGACATTGTTTGTTTTTTAAAGTATAGATTTCATTTTGAAATTACAGAATGCTAATGTGGTTAGAGGACACCAAAGATACTGGGTCATCAGCCATTAAGTATATCTATTTCAAAATAAAAATATTTGTGAAATATTGTCTTATGGTTTCATTTGTGTTGGTCCACATAGCATGTTAGGTCAGTGTACCAGTAACCAATGAAATTTTCTCAAATTCCCTAATTGTACTAGTTCGTTAGACTGCCATAACAAAGCACCACAGCTTGAGTGGCTTCAACAAGAAATTTACTTTCCCACAGTTCTGGAAGCTAAAAGTCCAATATCAAGGTGTTAGTAGGGTTGGTTTCTTTTGAGGCCTTTCTCTTTGATTTGTAGATGGCCGTCTTCTCCCTGTCTTTAAATGGTCTTCCCTCTATACTTGTCTGTGCCCAAATTTCTTCTTATGAGGACAACAGTCATATTGGATTAGGGCCCACCCTGAAGATCTCATTTTTCCTTAATTATCTCTTTAAAGACCTATCTCCAAATACAGTCACATTCTGAGATGCTGGGATTAGGATTTCATTATGTGAATTTGGGGGGGGCTACAACTCAGCCCACAATACCCCCTAAGCATTTCCCAGCTATTAAGTTGAAATAAATTAAAGTAGTATTGATTTAAACTTGCATGATTTTTAGATGTAAATTTGACCCTATTATGATTAATTAACTGTTGAATTCTCAAGTGCATGATGCAATGCAATCAAGTTTAACATAGCATGGTGGGTAAGAGCATCTAGATTAGAATCCTTGCAATCCAACCAGCTGCTTGTGTAACATTTATCGAGTTATTTATCCTTCCTTATGTCTTTTGCCTCATCTTCATAATGGGAATAATGATAATAATAATGCCTAGCTTATTAGGCTGTCATAAGGATTAAATGAGAGAGATATAGCAAATTAAGTGCTTAATTAATGTCAACTGATGTTATTAATACTATTATTTTCAACTCAAAGGCTAAATGGACTGATTTGTGACTAAAGATTCTGTATAAGCAAAAGTAGATCTAACATTTTAAAAATGTAGAACAATGCCATTTTCACTACATTATTTTTAGAAAACAGTTATTTTCCACAAAAATGTTAACGTAATAAATTTATCCTTTCTAAATGACTTAAATTTCCAAAAAAAATTTTTAATTTCAGATATGATCAATATAATTATTAAGAGTATAAAGGGATCCCAAGACCAAGAAGTTTGAAAACCTTTGGTATAAAATACTATATTTTATAAATGAACCATTGGTTTATTCCCATGATCTGTCAATGAATTTTATGTAGTTCTTCCTTTTTTTACTCATAATGCTGCTATTTAAGTCCCTGTATGTGTCCCACTGTACATAGGTATGAGTTCTAGGTAGGGAATATACCTAGACCATTTTAAAGCATTGCATTCAGCAAAGGTGAAAATATTCAGACTCTAGAAATATTAATAGTAAGACAGTGGAATTAGCAGGACTTGGACAGAGCAACAGGCAAGTCAGTGTGCAAGGGCCAAAGGAAGAACAGCTAAGAGGTAGGAGGAAAATGAAGAAAGAGTAGTAGCTGAGAACATCTGTATATCTTGAATGTTATTTGGGGAAACAGATGCAGTAGGCCGTGTATACCTGCCTTCATTTCTTCTCAGACCTGGCTTCAGTCCACCTGATGCATTTTTAGGGATTAGCGGTCAACAGCCGGCAGGCCTTTTTTTTGGAGCAGCTAGGAACTTAGATACTTTTTGCTTTTACCTTTCATCTTTCTAGAGCATTTTCTTAAAGTTCCCATCATCTAGGGAATAGGCAACATGGGGTCACTATTTGAATCCCAGAAGTCTTCCTGCTCCTTACTAAGTGATTGTGCAGATCAGGGATTCCATGGGAGAGGACTGACTACAGGGGCCCCACTGACTGTTCTCCATCATGTAGCATACCTTTTCAATGAGAAAATCGGTCTGCTTCCTGTAAGGTATTCAGGGCCACCCACTGTGCCTCTAGTTTTATATACATATATATACACATACATACATACACACACACACACACGTACACACACACACGCTCCTTTCAGCTCTGTGAGGAGCCTCTGCAATGTCTAGTTGGCCCCTTAAGCATTGTTTGTCCATTAGGGGATATAGTTTCCTGAAAAGAGTAGTTTAGTTTCCTTCATGTTTGCAAATTGAACATAGTGCCTATAATAGAGTGCATACTCAAAGGCATGAATTAGACTTATAAATATACTAAGGCCACTTTTCTAGAACTGCTTTTATATAACTGGTGAGGGACATAAGTAAAAAGGGGTAAAAGGGTATATTTTTCAATAATGAAGTACCTGATTCAGCTTTTTTGGTAGAGGGGGATGGAGTCTTGCTCTATCACCCAGGCTTGAGTGTAGTGGCATGATGTCGGCTCACTGCAATCTCTGCCTCCCGGGTTCAAGTGATTCTCTTAACTCAGCCTCCTGAGTAGCTGGGATTACAGGTGCATGACACCACACCCAGCTAATTTTTGTATTTTTAGTAGAGAGGGGGTTTCACCATGTTGGCCAAGCTGGTCTCAAACTCCTGACCTTGTGATCCGCCCTCCTTGGACTCCCAAAGTGCTGGGATTACAGGTGTGAGCCACTGTGCCTGGCCTATGATTCAGCTTTTTAAAGCATTTGTAATGCTAAATCGTGGTATGTATTTTAACAATATGACATTTTCATAATAGGTAAATTATTTTTTTCTGGTGCCAAGTGTCTATTCAAAAGTCTTGGCCTGGTATGTTAAACAAGATACAGTAAATATGGACTATCAGAAAGTGAGCTTTCTCTAAAATACACTGTGCACATACATTTTTGGGTGAGGTAGCTAACTTCTTATTTGAAAGACAAGGTACAGTATACAGTTTACTTGTAAAATAGAAATTCACTTGCTTTATAAGAATGAAATCTCATTTAAAGAAATCTGATTTCTTAGCCATGCTTCCTTTCTTTTTTGTATCAAATATTCTAAGTCGTTTTCAGCCTCTTTAACCTTGCTATATTCTGAATTCAGTAATTTCCATGCTATGCATGGCTTCACAAAGGACACAAATGTAAAAAAAAAAAAGGTACCCATGGATTGTCTCAGAACTCTCTTCTAGCAATCAGCAGGAATTTACCAGGCCATAATTAAAGACAATTCCTTTCCTGTTTTTTGGGTAAATGTTGTAAATCTCTAGAAACACTGCTTACAAATAGTACTGTGTAGCTATACGTCTCAAACTATAATGTAAAAAGGGTACCATTTGTTGAACTCTTATTACCTACCTAGCATCAATTAGGTTGTATTATCTTCACTTTAGGGACAAGGAAATTCAGGCTTTTATGACATTACTCATCCATATCGTTCACAAGTGTTGGAAGAATACAACACAGATCTATATGGTTCCAAAGCCTATGCCATTAGAAATATTTGTAAAGTAAGTGTTCTTCGTGAGCTAAGACAAACGTCCTAGGCTTAGTATTGTGTCTGATATGTAAGTGATCAGACAGGTAAACACTGACAAAACTGAAATCCTTTGATCATTTTACCCTTTAAATTCTTCTCTGGGGTGGGAAAAGCTTGTTTTTTGTTTTTGGTAACAGCTTTGAGTATAACTGACATGCAATAAGTTGCACATATTTAAAGTGTGCAATTTGATACGGTTTGACATGTGTGTACATCCGTAAAGCCATCACCCGAGATGAGAAAATTCACAGACTGCAAATAAAGATGATCTCAATAGGGCCTCTGGAAGAACACCTGACCTAGGAAGAGTTGGATGAGTATCATATAAGCCGTAAGGCCAGATCTAAAGGTCGGCCCCGGGCTCCTTATCTGACAAGTAGGGTACCCTGGCCAAGTTCGCTATGTTAGAGTCTCGGAGCTACTCTACCCACGTCCGGAAAGCAACTCCCTGTGACCTAACCTTGACCGGGACACGCTTCTGCACTCTCCAAATCCGACTTCTACACCTGTATAGGACGGACCAAGTTTCTAGGTCTGCGCTCACACCAAAGTCGGAAGCTCGTCAGGGTCCGGCTTTCAAAATCCCACTTCTCGAGTCGTCTTGAGACAGTTTGGCTCCCGGCATGCAGTGCGGACGTCCCGGGTCGGTTCTGCCCGGAAGACGGAAGTGTAAAAACTTCCGGTCGACGAGATCCTGTGGCGTGTGCGTTTGTTTCCCAGGTGAGTTGTGTTCCTCACCGGTCCAGTGGGACATGGGACTTGGGGCTTGATTCCGCCACCCCAGGAGAATTTCGTTTCTTGACCCTCTCTGGGCTATACTTGAGCTCCAGTCTGGCGATGCAGGGCTAGGGTTCCCAGTGCTCTTGGGGGCCCTCCGGCTTCCGAGTGCACTGGGTAAAATGGAGCCTTCCCCTGTCGTTCACTCCCGCTGAGGTTAACTTCGGCCCTCAAGGTTGTTTACCGCCCGCTTTCCTAGCCCCTCCAAAGTGTTACGTTATGTAGACAAGGGAGCAGAATGAGCTTGTGATTGCCGGCGTTCAAAAAATGTTGGACATTTGTTCAAAAAGTATGCAAAATACTGTGCACTGGGGGATCCAGCGGTGAACAAGGCCTCCTTTCCCTCTACCTTCGTGGAGTCTACAGTCCGGGGAGAGAGTGGGGGGCGTGACAGAAAACAGTAGTTTCAAGTTGTAACACCTATTAAGCACGGAAGGGAGCTTACGGAAGTCAGAGGAGTCCTTTCTGAGGCATCGAATGAAGGAGCAAGGCTTGAGAAGAGCAGTTGCCAGGCATAGGGACAGCAAGCATGAAGGCACTGACGTGGAGATAGTTTGGACATTTTTCAGATGCAATTGGAGCCTGCGGGGATGGAGATGGAGAAGGAGAATGAGATGAAATAGAGTTGAAGGAGGCAGGGGACAGCTCACAAATGAACTTGCAGGTCTTGAATATATGAGGGAGGCGGTCTTTAAATAATTCAAAGAAAGGCAGTTAATGCTCTTAAGTTTTTAAAAGATCACACTGAGCACCTTGTGGAGGATTTAGGGCTGAAACTGAGTGGAAAGAAAACAAGAGTAGGAATAGGTAAGTTTAAAGTCGTTAGGTTGGCTTGAGAGGATGGATAATCAAGATGGGGGTGGAGTGTTTATAAAAATCGCTTTGTAATTTGTAAGCTGTTGCATAAATGTAAGGTGATGACGCTCTTGCATTCTGGGGAAATTGAATTTCTGTATTTTGTAAAGAAATTCAAAGTGCTTTCAGAATTGGTTTGATTTGTAGTTTGCTTATGTCCACAAGGAGTTTGATATCTTAATTGATATTTAATGACTATATGTACCATGTTGATCTTCACATAAGTTGTATGTGAAGTCATAAAAAGTGAACATATTGAAGAGTTTTACTTTTCATTTGTTTTGTAGAGATACCTGTTGGTCTGGTTTTCCAAGGATTTGCCTTCTTTTTTTTTTTTATAGTAAAGATTTGCTTTCGAATATGTATTTTTGTTAATTTTAGGTAAAACATGGCTAAAAGCTTACGGAGCAAGTGGAAAAGAAAAATGCGCGCTGAAAAGAGAAAAAAGAATGCCCCAAAGGAGCTCAGCAGGCTTAAAAGTATTCTCAAACTAGACGGTGATGTTTTAATGAAAGATGTTCAAGAGATAGTAACTGTGGTGGTACCCAAACCCAAACATTGCCAAGAGAAAATGCAATGTGAGGTAAAAGATGAAAAAGGTGAGTGTTATTTCTTTTCTCTCTCTCTTTCTTCCCCTCTCCCCCTCCCCTCCCCCGTTACCTAGTGGTGGGATTGTAGCTCACTGTAGCCTTGAATCCCTGAGCTGAAGCAGATTCTTCCACCTCAGCCTTCCAAAGCACAGGGATTACAGACGTGAACCACAGTCCCCAGCCCCTCTGTGCTTCATTAAAAAAAAATAATTCTATCAAGCGCGTTCATGTATATAGGTATGTTTTGGATTGTTTGGAGTGGGTCTTTGGTGCTTATACAATAGCCTCCATGTCTCAGGAATAAACAGTTCTACAGGACTAGACAAATCTAGACACACTCTGTTTGGAAGGGTACACAGTTCACCCAGAACCTAGGCAGCATACAGTGTCTTCATTTTACTCTTTGTAAGATCTGATTCCCATTCTATGAGTCCTATGCCCTTATACTATTATCCTGAATCACAGGGTTTCACTATTTCATTTTGACAGATTCTAGGAATCTTTATATCTTAATCATAAAGTTGGAGGATATATATAATGCTGCTTTTCCCACATTTATGCATCAGTTTGGCAGCAAACTAAGCATTTATAATATCCAGACTTTCATATAGAAATATATTTATTTGATGTCTTATGCTGAAGGAAGAGAGCAATATTTCTCAGTCTCCCAACCTTAGGTTTTTTTCCCTCTTTAAAAGTGGCTGGTTTTAACTTTTTCTTCCCATTTCGTTCTTCTCCCACTCCATACAAAAAAAAAAAAAATACAAAAAACATACTTCTCTGAGAAAAGAGGCCAACCAACAGAAATACCCTCATCTTTCCACTACCCAAGTCTATAAGAATTTGAATATATAGTCTGTTTTCCCTTTTTTATTGATGTTCTCTCCAAGACCAGTTTCTCCACTTGAGTTCTGAATCCTCTCCCTGCTTAGATTCTCAGGGGCTGTACTCATGCATCCGTGTTGTCATTCTCCTCCACGGGGTCATTGCCAACAGTATAGATGTGTTCTGGGATGTTCAATGTCAAAAGAAAGAAAGAAAAATTTGTCCCTTGATCTCAAGTTCTCTCAATCTGCTGCTTTATTTCTGCTGTCCTTGAAATTTCCCTTCACTTGCTGTTTTCATTTTCTCACATACATGTCACCCCTCCCCATTGGCTCTTTTTAGTTGTTGTTAAGGCAAAATTCACAAAACATAAAATTAACCATTTTAAAGTGTACAGTTCAGTGGTAATTTAGTACATTCATGTGTTGTGCAACCACCACCTCTGGTTCCAAAACACTTTCATCACCCCAAAAGGAAACTTAATGCCTATTAAAGAGTCTGTCTCCTCCTCCCATCCCCCAGCCTCTGGCAACCACTAATGTGCCCTTTTTGTGTGTGGATTTACCTGTTTTGAATATTTCTTATAAATGGAATCATGTAATGTAACCTGACTTACTTCAATTAGCATGATGCTTTTGAAGGTCACCCACATTGTAGCATACGTATATCAGTACTTCCTTTCTTTTTGAGGCTAAATAATAGTCCATTGCCACATTTCATATCCATTCATCGGTTGTTGGGCATTTGGATTTCTTTCCCCTTATGGCTGTTGTGAATAGTGCTGCTGTGAACATTCAGGTGCACAAGTTTTTGTTTGAATACCTGTTTTTGGTTCTTGTATGTGTATATTTACAAGTGGAATTGCTGGATCATATGGTAATTCTTTGTTTAATGTTTTCCACATTAGCCACACCATTTTACATTCCCACCTGCAGTGTTTTGAGTATTTCAGTTTCTTCATATCCTCACTAATACACGCTTTCCATTTTTGGATTATGACCATCTTAGTGGGTATGAAATAGATTCTTATTGTGACTTTTATTTGAAGTTCCCTAATGACTAATGATGTTGAATAAACATTTAAACAATTTTTTTTTGAGATGGTGTTTTGCTGTCACCCAGGCTGGAGTGCAGTGGGATAATCTCAACTCACTGCTACCACTGCCTCTCAGGCTCAAAACAATTCTCCTGCCTCAGCCTCCCAAGTAGCTGGTATTATAGGATATGCTACCATGTCTGGCTGATTGTTGCATTTTTAGAGAGATGGGGTTTCACCATGTTAGCCAGGCTGGTCTTGAACTCCTGACCTCAAGTGGTTCACCTGCCTCGGCCTCCCAAAGTGCTGAGATTACAGGCGTCTGCCACTGTGCCCAGCCAAATATTTTTTCATATGCTTTTTGACCATTTGTGTGTCTTTTTTGGAGAAAAGTCTACTCAAGTCTTTTGCCTCATTTTTTAATTACGTTGTTTGTGTTTTTATTATTGGGTTGTTAAGAGTTCTTTATATGTTCTAGATCCATATAAAGAACTCTTTTTTTTTTTTTGAGATGGAGTCTTGCTCTGTCGCCAGGTTGGCGCACAGTGGGTGGTGCAGTCTTGGCTCACTGCAACCTCTGCCTCTGGGGTTCAAGCAGTTCTTCCGCCTCAGCTTCCCGGGTAGCTGGGACCACAGGTGTGTCCCAAATGCCCGGCTAATTTTTGTATTTTTAGTAGAGACGGGGTTTCACCACGTTGGCCAGGATGGTCTCGATCTCTTGACCTTGTGATCCACCCACCTTGCCCTCCCAAAGTGCTGGGATTACAGGCGTGAGCCACCGTGCCCGGCCCATGTAAAGAACCCTTAACATGCCCATGCACTCTTGATTCTTTTGGATTGATCCTCTGTTTTCTTTTTCTCTCCTGTTTTCTATATCTTTTGTTATACCCTCTAATTTCCTTGACCTTGTATTTGTTTTTTCCTCTTATGTTTTCGATTTCTAAAAGTTTTTCTTTTCTTTCTTTTTTTTTTTACTGTTCCTTTTTCATAGCTTTGTATTCTTTGTGTTTTGTAAATGACACTTGAGTCATCAGCTCTGTATTCTAAATGGGCATATGTCTTCTCTGATTTTCCTAAGGGTATTAATTACAGTTTGCTTTTCAAATTTGTATCTATGTGTCTAGGTATTGTCTGTCTTTCCTCTTGGAATTTCCTCCCAAGCCCTTCCATTCCTTTACTTTTGTGTCTGTCTTTCATACCAGAGACTTTTCTCAAATGTCTAGTGATCAGTAGTAGTTGTTTGTATTTAAAGGTAGGACACTAAAATGGTGATTGGAAGCTGGAGGGAGACAAGGTGTGGGAGAGGATCTGTCAACTGCTAGATGTATAGAAAAATTGGATTGGCTCCAGGAGGCTTTATTTGGAGATAGATCTCTTATATCAAAATCTGTTAAGTGTTTTTTTTTTTTTTTTTTTTTTCTTATCATCATCCCTAGAGAGAAATTCTCTTATGTCCTGCCTGGGGAATGTCTGGATGCCCTTGTTCTTCAATATTTTAGGAGCTAAAGGGAGATGGGACTGAGACTGTGGGAGTCTCCCCATTTAGTGATCTATGTGTGAACAGTTTGGTTTTCATCTCTACCCTCAAGTTTATGTTTCTCCTTATTTCTCCTCTTTCAACTGCCCACCTAATTTCTTAAGCCATAAACCTAGTAGTCATCCTTGATTCTTCTTTTCTTTATTCCCTACACCTAAACTATTACCAAGTCTTACTGATTAAACCAAAAACACATTAGAAATCTGTATCCATTTTTCTCTTGCTTTCACCTTGATTCAGATGGCCATCATCTCTTGCCTGTACTATGATAGGAGCCTTTTTACTTCTCTCTTCTGCTCTTGTTCCCTTCTCATTTATCTTCCACATATCCACCAGTATGATCCTTTCAGAAAGCAATCAGATTATATCATTGCCATGCTTTAAAACCTTATTATCTTAACATGTGTTTACCAGCGCCTACCACTTCTTTCTTAATCTGCTTCCAGTGATTCTTTAAAAAACCACTTACATAGGCTGAAATTTTTTCTTTTAATTTTTAATTTTTTTTTTTTTTAGAGATAGGGTCTCACTTTGTTGCCCAGGCGGGAGTATAGTAGCTATTCATAGGCATGACCATGCACACAACAGTCTTGAACTCCTGGCCTCAAGTGATCCACCCAGTCTCCCGAATTGCTGGGACTACGGATGCCTACAGACACCATACCTGGCTGAGGTTTTCTTTCTGTTTGCTTTGTTGTTCTTCCCTCAGTAGAACATTGTAAACTCCGTGAGGGCTAGGAGCTTATATGGACCACTCTAAGCCGAGAACCTAGAACAGAACCTTTAAATTGTCATTCAACAAGTAGTTACGGAGTGGCTGTTATATACCAGACACTATTCTAGATACTGTGGAGACAATGATGAATATCTAATATAATGCCAGGTAGTCGAGATAATAGAAGACCTTGTGTATCCTGGTAAGGAGTTCCCATGAGAGACTCTGGGCATGTCTTTCACGGTGGAGAAGGTGATAGGTATATCCAGCATGCTTGCACGGAGCTTCCTGTCAACTCTTCTATCAGTAGAGCTGGATCTCGGAGTGTTATCTAGCTAGGAAAAGTATGCGAGCCCCAGGATGTGTCCAGGTCTTTCTTCTCTGTTGACTGCCTGTCTCTGCCATCGCAGCCCTGCTGCTGACTACTCCATCAAGTTCATTAGAAGTTTGTTCTCAGGTCATTAGAATTTAGTTCAAGTTCGTAAGAAATGGCCAGTCATTCCTAATCAATTCATTACTTCTAAGGTCTATCCCTTAGAAGTATGGGTGCGCTTACTTCCTTAACTCAATGAATCACTTAATATGAGAAATGTTCTTGTAACTCACATGTGCTCAGAAGCATAATCTACTAATGCACTAACTCAGAGCCATACATCCTAAATGTTTTCTATTTAACTTTACTATTCTAAGGAAGGACAGTCATGCCAACACTCTTTAGAGAGCTTTTTTCTTCTCTATTTTCGGACTACCTTCAGTTCTAATGTTCTCAGTTCATTAATATGCTTTCACAAGATGATTTTTTTCATACATAGTGTTAATAGTTTTTTCATCTTTTAATGCAGATGACATGAAAATGGAGACTGATATTAAGAGAAACAAAAAGACTCTTCTAGACCAGAATGGGCAGTACCCAATATGGATGAACCAAAGGCAAAGAAAAAAGCTGAAGGCAAAGCGAGAGAGAAGAAAGGGGAAAAGTAAAGCAAAAGCAGTGAAAGTGGCAAAGGGTTTGGCCTGGTAGACTCTTAAGACCTTGGAAAATGCCACATGGGACAGGTGATGGATTAGAATGTATACACATGTATAACTTGATTTCAGCTCCCACCAAATGAAAACTATTTGTTTTCCTATTTTAACTTGGCCTTTTTTCTTCAATTCAAACCCAGCATAACTCCTCAAGTTTGTTTTGGGAACTTGAATAAAATACTTTGTTTCATACATCCGGGCTCTACTGATATTTTAATTGGATGCTACCTAATACCAGTTATTATCAGGCCTCAAAGTTCTGTCAGGAATTAATGTGGTTAGAAGTATTATTACAGCTAGTAATTATAGTCAGTAAAGATAAAACATGACGTATTGACAAATTTTTGTGAACTTATATGTAAAGAATGCTGTTATTTAATCATATCATTTAAAAATACAACATTTGGCCAAGGGTGGTGGCTCACACCTATAATCCCAGCACTTTGAGAGGCAGAGGTGAGCAGATCATGAGGTCAGGAGTTCCAGACCAGCATGGCCAATATGGTGAAACCCTGTCTCTACAAAAAATGCAAAATTAGTCAGGCATGGTGGCATGCACCTGTAGTCCCAGCTACTTGTGAGGCTAAGGCAGCAGAATCCCTTGAACCCAGGAGGCAGAGGTTACAGTGAGCCAAGATCGCGCCCCATACTCCACAGTCCAGCCCAGCCTGGACGACAGAGCAAGACTTTGTCTCAAAAAGAAAAAAAACATTAGTGGATCTTACAAAGTACTTGTGTGGAGCTTTGATTCCACAGAATATAAGATATTTTGCTTGTAGATCTTAAAGTTTGATTCTTTTTTCTTTCATATATGCTTAAGGTTTTTTAGTCCCAGAGAAGACCAGATTCTTCAGTTAAATTTGTTCTTGTCTTAATTTTAGGTAGAGTAATAACATAAACAAATCAGTATGCTTTTTTAGGAAATTAGAACATTTCAAGTTTTTCATGGAAACTGATTTGATGTTCTTCAGTGTTAATGTTGTGTAGCCTAATGTAGTATTATGCAGCATTTCTCAGTGTGTTCTTCAGAATTAGTTTCTCTGGATGCTTGGTTAAAAAAAATAAATTGGGTTCACATCAATTTGGGAAATGCTACTTGAAGATTTACAAAATATTTTAGTTGAGGAATAGAATAGTCCTACAGGAATCCAGCAGTAAAGAAACATGTTTAACTTTTACTCTTTGAAACTGGTTTCCTGAAAACTGTGTTTTAGTTAAATCTGTCTTATTACAGTTTGCTAAATTCACTCTTATTTAAATTTACTTTTAGTTAAGCAATCTGTTAACTGGAACAGCCAAACTGAGTGCCTAGTGTGTGCCAGAGACTTTCCAGATGCTAGGGACAGACTGAATAAGGTAAGATTTCTGTTCTCATAGGGCTGAGAACTGTGTACCTGCTTAGAAGAGGATGTTAACTTCCCAGGAAAACTCAAGTAAAATGTGAAATATATTAGAATAAGGCCACTTGGTCATGAGGTCACAAACTTTGTGCCAAGCACACTGCTAAACTGTGGCACAATATAGAGTTAAAGAGAACATGACGCAAATGTTTCAGAAAATTTGAACATTTTATAAAATTTAATGCCAGTAAACCCTTGGAATTATTTAAATACAGTAGACTTTTCTCATTTTTCTCATTTATTGAAAAGTTGATAGATAATTTTAAATGTTTAAAATTTCTTAACAGCTAAGAAAGATGTGAGTTGAAAGATGTCATTCATGGCCTTTGTTGCCTTTTGGTATATGAATAACAATAGCATTTGTGAGGGAAAAGCAGATATGTACTACATTTTTATTCATAAAATAAAAAATTATAAACATCCAGTTAAGTCACTGATAATACCAGCCTAAATATACTAGCTGAATTATTTACCCTTTTTTTTTTTAACATGGGGTCTCACTCTGTCACCCAGGCTAGAGTGCAATCACAATCTTGGCTTGCTGCAACATCTACCTCCCAGGCTCAAGCAGTCCTCCCACCTCAGCCTCCCGAGTAGCTGGGACTAAGACGGTGCCACCATGCCAAGATAATTTTTGTATTTTTGTAGAGAGGGTTTTGCCATGCTGCCCAGGCTGGTCTCAAACTCTTGGACCCGGGTAATCCACCCATCTCTACCTCTCAAAGCGCTGGGATTACAAGCATAAGCTACCACACCCAGGCTAATGTAGACATTTTTTATTATTTTTAAAAAAGGGGACCGGGCACTAAATTCCAGCACTTTGGGAGGCCGAGGTGAATGGACCACCTGAGGTCAGGAGTTTGAGACTAGCCTGACCAACATGGTAAAACCCTGTCTCTACTAAAAATACAAAATTAGCTGGGCATGGTGGCAGGCACCTGTAATCCCAGCTACTCAGGAGGCTGAGGCAGGAGAATTGCTTGATCTCAGGATACGGAGGTTGCAGTGAGTCAAGACTGCCATTGCACTCCAGCCTGGGCAAGAAGAGTGAAGCTCCATCTCAAAATCTACATTAGCGTTGTTACACACTTGGCACTGATTTACATTTTGGCAGCATTGTCAGGTATTTTCTAACTAGATTTCCTTTAAGTTGAAGTAGAGACCAGTCCCAGGGTTATGTTCATGTTTTCTGAGGCTGATAACCTCTAATTTGATTGTATTGATAATAGCTTTGAGCTTTCATCCAGGGCCTCTCTCATGTTAGGATTTTCACTTCAGTGTGTCCAGTCATGAAGTTTGTCCATTCAGGATTTCACTTAAAAGTTAACAAAATCAAAAATCAAAACACCATTACCAAAAAACATTTTGGAATTGTGTTCTGGAGTCTCGTATCTGGAAAGGTGACTACTGAAGAGAAGTTTACTTACACAGTGTTGTGAGTAGCCTCTGAGGCACTGAGTTCCTGAACACTGCCAAGATTCTCTCCACCAAATATTGGCAGAAAATTTAGACTGGCATTTCAAAATTAGTGCAGGGGTATCTTTGTCACTTTATTTTTAAGAATTACAAATTGAGAAGTATAGCGTAGTCCTTTTGTCTTTTAAATAATTAGCTTGTCTTTTTGAAATTTGTCATCTTTTTGACTGACATTTACCAGAGAATTGCTGTAAAGCCACAAGATGGAGCTCAAGCTAAGCACCAAATCATTTTGGAATTAGATTGAGTGAGCTAAGTCACATTAGGGACTGAATGTAACACTTTGTTAGAAGTCTGAAATCAAAATATCGTTTAAAGATGGATCAAAACTGCTTCAAGTATTAACTCATTTACCGAGCAATCTCATGAGTTTGGTACTAATTTAATCTCTGTTTACACATGGGGAAACTGAGGCACACAGACCATACAACTAAAACTGAAATCTGGGATTCAAATTTAGGCAGTGTGGCTCCAACAATGCCATTCTGCCTCTCAAGAATGTGCAAGTTCTTGCTGAAGAGAAAGGTGATTATAGGATAGAATACCTATTTTTGGGTCAACCTATGAGTAGATGGGGCTCATGTGGCCTCTGGGTTCATGTGGCCTCGGGATCAGATAAAGAGCAGGTTTAAGTATAATAATGACTTATAGAATCCTCAAATCTCTAGGCATAAGGCAGACTGGATTTCCCTAGGTGACACTCCATCAGGAATGGGCTGACCAATCCAAAAGGGGAAGGGGTAGGCCATGATAATAGTGCCCAAGGTACTAATCAGAGAAGAAATGCAAACTGCAGCTGAAGCTCTAAGGTAGAATCAAGCAGTAGTTTTGACTACATTCTGTTTTCTACTATCACATTAGTATAGGTATCTCCTCCCACTGTGTAATTCACATGCTACATCAAATAAGGATGCAGCAGTATGTATTTGCTTATTAGGAAATTTGGATGTTTTCAAAACGTGGATCCATATGTCTGGGATATGGCTTGAGTTGGAGAAGAAAAATAGAATCAAATATCTGAAATGGACTGGTGGTGATGGTGAGGGGCAGCAATGTGTAGTTTAGGAAAGTGCTGACCACAACATAAAATTGAAAGGAGTCTAAGGCATTGCCACATTTATGAATACTGCAACAGAAATGCAGATGCTGAGCTGTTGGTTAATCTTACCGGTTAAGTGACTAACTACTGATGCCATCTGGCAAAGTAATTCAAGTTTGTGCTAGACTCAAAATATACATCTTTTCCCCTCTATTTGCCTGCATATATTAATAAAAACACTGTTGCAGTAGACACATATCAGTTTTACAAGGAAACGTTTAGGGGTGAGGTGGGACTGTTAAGTACTTACACCAGGTCAGGGGTCACTCTGCTGTCCCCAGGGCACTGTAAGGCAGCTAGGAGGCCCAGGGCCACTTTTGGGCCTGCTTACAAAAAGAACCCTAAATTTCCTGCAGTTGAATGCCAAGGGTCTTTTGCACTTATTTTAGAGCTAAGGAAAAATACAATATGTTGCCAAAAAGGTTAATTTGGTAGGCAAGCAATAAAAATAACAGCCAACTTTTAGAGAATGTGTACTCTCTTCAATGCTTTACATGTATTATTTAATCCTTCAAACACTGTGGGATCAATACTCTTATCCCTATTTTCAGATGAGAAAACAGTTTGAAAAGATTAACTAAATTTGCCCCAAGTCATGCAACTGTTAAGTAGTGAGCATGGCTGTCTGTCCCAGAGCATAAAATGAATACCTATGATGGAACGCTACAGAGAGACAGACTTTTATTTGATTTAAGGAAGCACGTTCTAACCAAGATTTTGGGAGCTGAAATGGGCACCTTGGGTGCCTTGGGGTGTCAGTCTAAGGTAGAGAACCATTTGGTTGGAATGTAGCAAAATAGATTCAAACATTGTACAGTAATCCCTCAGAATACATGGGGAATTGGTGCCAGGACCTTCCACAGATACCAAAGTCCACAGATGCTCAAACCACTTACATAAAATAGTGAAATATTTGCATATAACCTATGCCCATCCTCCCATGTACAGTCATATGTCACTTAATGACCGGGATGTTTTCTGAGAAGTGTGTTGGGTAGTATTGTTAATCATTGTGTGAACATCATAGAGTGTACTTACACAAATCTAGATGGTATAGCCTACTACACTTAGGCTATGTGGTATAGCCAATTGCTCCTAGGCTACAAATCTGTCCAGCAACTTAGTGTACTGAGTACTGTAGGCAATTGTTCCACAATGGGAAGTATTTGTGTATCTAAACATAGAAAAGGTACATTTAAAATGCAGTATAAAAGATAAAA